ACGCGTTCGGAACGAAGCGACTGATGCAATTCACATCGGATTACGAAGACGATGAGTTCAAAAACGTGCTAGTTTCGTGCTTCGTTCCTCTCTCTCTATTTTTATCCTTTTTTTCTGTGTGTTTTCAATTCTTTCCTTCTCTTCTTTCGTTTCTCAGCTTCTATAAACGGAATCACTTTGGTTTGTATCACGAAAGGGGACTATTCACAGGAACATTACTTTTCAAACATCCTTATCTTTTTAGTTTCTTTTTTTTTCGTTTTTCTTTTTGCGCCAGAGATAATACATTGAACGCCTCGGCTAACGAGTTTCATATAGCTTTTATACGAGGGAGGGGGAGGGGGAGGGGGGAACAGAAGAATATCCAATCACTCCGTGGAGGAAGGCGCGAAAGAAAACGTATGAAAAATCAATGTTTCGTACCTTAATTACACAACCTTTACAAGTGTTTCTTTTCTCTGATAGTAGTTTTTATAATAAGTAGCAGGCATTCACGCGTCACGACAGCACACTGAGAGATGATATAAACTTGTCATTCTTGAAACAAGGTGAAGCGATTTTGTACTAAAGTGCAGCGATATAATACTATTTAATGAATTATCTACGTAATTTACAGTTTTCCGGATACATTTTTATTTTTACATGCACCGTGACAAGGTATGGTCGGCCTGTACGACACACAACGTTGCTTTTAGTTACACATATATGTGTATATATACATGTATATACATATATATATATTGTACATGTATATGCTGTGTGTATATATATATATACATGTATATATACATATATTCTCTCGTTTTTCCTTTTTTCTCTATCATTTCATATTTTCGATAGTCATTTAAACATCTTCACCTTTATTTGGTTTTTCATTCACTCCTTGAACCGCTTTGTCACTACTTGCTGCTTGCCATCAAGCTGTGACAAGCTACACAATTTACAAGAATCATTTCCGATATAAAGTTAAGATTCTAAGTTATCAAGAAGCGTTACACGGAAAGGCAAAAAGTTCAATGCGTATCTTGCTACATTAATTCACCGAACGAGATCTCTATGTAGAATTAATTTGTCTATTCAGTCTGACCACACCATGTAAAAGAACGTGGAACAGTATCATCGTGATAGATAGATACAGTAGACAGAGTTATAAATTCAGGCTTTTAATTATAAATTCTTTAGTCTGCGAGGGATCTATCGACAGTCGAATACGCTTATTTTTGTTCTCCCTATCCCCTTTATATTTTGCCTCTTTTTCTTTCTTTTTTTCTTTTCTTATATTATTTCGTTCATTCTCTCACTCTCTCTC